TCCGGGCTTCTCATCATTGCTGAGACTACTCCGAGATTGTCTTGCCAGATACACAGGTACCATGCGCTACCATCATGGCCCACTGTTGGGCACGGACACCAGGTTGGGCTGGGGGGTGTGAGGGGGGTCACCGAGTACAGAGCACTTCAGATAAAGCCCACCTGTCCCCAGTCACGCCAGTCCTCTCTGTCTGAAGCCAGGAGTACCTAGGTTAACTTTGGGAAGTCTTCCCTGACTGGGGATGGCCCTTCCTACCTGCTGCACCCTCCTCAGCACATCGGCAGATCATGTACAGAACACAGATGCGTGGGAACCTCACAGAGGTTCTCCTTGTCACCCACCTCACTGCCAAGCCCTACTCAAGAGCACAGGGGCCTCAGCTACAGAGCTCCTAGCACATGCCCTGTGCTGCTGCTGCAGCAGCAAGCCTTTTCTCTGCTCCTCATGCTCTGCAAGCCACTTCCTTTCTCTCTGTATAAACTTCCATCCCATCACCACCCTGGACTTCATCCTCCTTAGCATTACTACCGCATGTCCCCAACCCCTAATCACTAGATTATGCTTCAAGGGTGAACAGTCTTCAGGGATGTAGTGCAAACACACACACACACCCCATCATTTCCCTCCTGGAGAATAAAGTCATAACTGAAAGTAACCAGGATGGATCCTTGCTCAAAATTCTCAATGGCTTCCATTGCCTCCTGATATGTTCTAGCCCCTTAGTATGGCAGTAAAGGTCCCGATCATGTAGACAGCAGACCTTCCCAGCTTTACCTCCTTTCACTGCTCCAAGAAGATCAGTTAGCCCATGGCCCTGCGTGCAATTCTCCCTTAACCCAGAGCGCACATCAGCTTTGGGCCCCAAACCCAAATCACACGAAACGCTTACCTTGTTCAGCCCAAAGGTCGCTTGTTCCCTGGTTCTTTCCAGTAGGAAACATTTTTCCACCCTTCACAGCCTCATTCACACTTTTGCCTCCTTTCCATCTGGAATTCTGTCTGAGTTTCTCTAAGTATGAAGTCAGGGACAGAGTTTCCTTAAACTGGGGTTTTCCCTCTGACCAATGACCATGCACAGTCTTTAATAAACGTCCATGGGTTCCTGTTATCGCAAGCCTTCTCCCTAGAATTCATGAACTCAGCCCTGTCTCCATAACCAGACCGAAAATCCCTAGAGCAGAGCTTCTCCAATTTAAGGATCACTTAGATCTCCTGGGAGTGGGGAAAAACGAGCCGCCGACTCAGGAGGTCTGGGGAGGGGCTTCCTTACACTGCTATCTAAGGAGCTCACAGGTGCCGCAGTCCATAGTTCACGGGTAGAGTAGCAGGAAGGCACTAACACCTGTTGATCAGGTAGCAGACAGCTCACCTGATGGAACGGGCAGGGCGCCCCGTGGATGAACCGAGGCTAAGAGGCTCGCTCCTGCCCAGCCGGGAAAGTGGAGGCCTCCGGTTCACTTACCTATGGTGGACACCACGGTGCCCACGAAGTAGAACGCGCCAGTGAAGTCCCAGCGCGGGCGGACGTTGTCCATGCGGATGCCGGCCCTGGTAGCTTCCTCATAGTGGCGGAGGAAGCCGCGCAGCTCCTCGCGGCTGAGGTTGTGGCTGCGACTGAAGTTGGCCAGGCGCTCCTCCCAGCGCTGCTTGGCCTGGCGCTCGTGCGCCAGCTCCAGCGCCGAGAAGACTGCGGCGCCGCCCAGGAGGTAGAGCAGGATGAGCGCGGCGAGGAGCAGGAAGCGCGCGTTGTCCTCGTTCAGGTGGCCCGGGGTGCAACTGCAACCCCGGCCGGCCATGACCTGGCCCCGGGGCCAGATCCCCGCGGGACGGCAGTGGGCGCTGGGGGACTCGCGCCCACGCCCGGGGAGGGCGCTCAGCCGGCTCCCGGACGCCCCACGGCCGGCTCTCCCATGCCCGCCGCCCTCTCCCCAGGCCGCTAGGATCCCTGGGCTGCCGCCTCCTCTTCTCTTGAGGCACCAGATCTCCACGTCCTCCTAGACTCTTGGTTTCGTATCCGCTTTGTCGCCGCCTCCCGCTCCGGAGTTCTCCCTAGCGCCGAAGATGCGAGCGTCCGGGCGCAGAGTCGCTTTTGCTCCGCACGCGGGTGCGCGCGCTGGGTTTCCAGCCTGGCTCAGATTGGGGAGGGGGCGTGGCGCGTCTTCACTGCAAACTCGGCCGACTTAACTTCCCGGGGGAGGGATCCCCAGAAGTCGGCGGGTAAGCGGAGCCCAGTGGCTTCGGTCTCTTTGACCGTCGCTTTCTTAAACCGCGATGGCTAGGACGCGGGGGTGTTTGCTGGCTAAGGAGCTGCCTCCCCGGTGGTGCGTCCTAGTGGCAGCGTCGCCCCGATCCTTCGGCCTCCGGAGCTCAGAAGCACGAGCGGTCCGGAGCCGGCGCACCGACCGACAGAAAGCGCAGACCTGCGTTGCGAGCTCCGACCTTCTGCCCAGCGCCCACGCTTCGCGGCATACGGCAGGCAGACCGGCTGGGGAGAGACCAGAAAGGGAGGATGGTACAGGGGAGCGAGGGAAGTTAGGAGCAGCTCCCTGGGCGCCCTCCCTCCCCTTGCCAGGGCCAGCGCGTCCTTGGCCTCGGAGTCCTGCGCCGGAGCGTCCCCTGCCTCCAAGGGTCGGCTCTGCCACCCAAGCTCCAGAGAGGAGCAGCCAAGGACAGAGCCCCGTGACCGCGACCCCTGAGGGCTCCATCGCTTCCACCGAGCGGCTCCTTAGTGTTTTTGCGCGGCAGGGGCTGGGCGCAGAGTGCACCCCCTACCCCGCGCAGACCACCCGCAGCAAGACCTGCGGTAAACCCGGGGCGCCCTCCCAGGGACCCCACCTCGCCAGGGACCCCACCTCGCCCGGGCCCCCGCTCCGGCACCGCGACTGGGCCCAGGTCTCACCTCGCGGGGACCACCCCTCTGTGCCCTGGCAGGAATATCCCTGAGCTCCCTCCTCTCGAGGCCCGGCCCGGCCCTGCCCTGCGAGTGGGGCGGAAAGTGGAGGTCTTCGCTCTCCGACGCTGCAACAGGTGGAACCGCGCTGCTGCCGGCCGCAACTCCACCCAGTCGCCCGCTTCCCGGGCGCTCGGCTGCCTCCTCTCTTGGTGTCCCCAGCAGACGCCCAGCGCGGGACAGGCCAACCTCGGGCGGCGGTGCTCCCACCCGAGTGCGCACATCCCGAGGGTGGGTGCTGAGGAGGCGGGTCGGAAGCCTAGCCGGCCTGCGTGGGCCCCTGAGGAGCCAGGAGAGGGCGCTCTGTCCCCTTTGGACACATCTCGCCCCCACAGTATAAGCAGCCGTGTGAGCCCCGTGTGAGGGAGATGAAAACGGATGAGCAAATGAATGGATTCATGGGCATCTGAGAGCTAAGCGCAATTTCCAGAGATCCCGAGAGAGTGGTCCCAGGAGAACCCCCCACCCCCCGCTGACACTCAGGAACAGAGATAGAAGGGTTCGCAGTCCCGTTTAGTAAATCAAGTGATTTTGATGAAACATCTCTGGCGAGTTTTTCATCAGAAGCTCAGATACCGCGAGTATTCCTCTCGCTCTGTCACTCACAGATGTCCCTCGTTTACCTAGTCTATCAGAGGCAAGAATTTTAGGGTAATAGTGACCATAGGAGTGTTGTAGTCAGGGTTTGCAAGGGAATAGATTTAATACAGGACACATAATTTATAATATGTTATAGTATTCATCCAAAAAGTCAAATGCAGAGGAATGCAAGAGATCTGTCCACACGCTGTGAACCTGAAGAACCCATGGCAATGTCCTGAACAAGTCCAGCTGAAGGCCTAGAGCCCAAGGCAGTGTCCTCTATGAGTGCACCCAGAGGCGTAGAGGCCAAGGCAATGTCTCATGCAAGTCCGTATCGAGGATCTGCACTGGGCAGGCCCAAAGGCCAGTGGTGGAAGCCAGAAAGCCCGCGCAGGTGGGGTGAAGGGTCTGTGCCACCAGGCTGAGGGATCTGCACTGGAGCCAGGAAGCAACGATCAAGGGGGAGACCAGAGCTCCCCGGATGAGAACAGCAGCCATCCCCAGCGACAGCGAGGACCTGAGCTCCTCTGGCAAAGAGAACAGCAGAGTTTGTATCAGAAAAACCAGCCGTGGCAAATCTTCATAGCATATGATCTTCCCCTCCAGTTCTGTCTCTCTCTCGCTCTCTCTCTCTCTTTGGTACCGGGATCGAACTCTGGACCTTGCGCTTGCTAGACAGGGTGGTGGAAGCACTGAGGTAAATCCCCAGCCCTCCAGGTCTCTTTTTATGCCATTGGCAACAATCCTCAGGAGGGCCTTCCACACCCAGAACCAAGCTGACTCAGTTCAGCTGGGTGTTCCAAGTTGACCATTAGCTAATCCACCACAAGGGAAATGTCTGTATACCCAGGGTCAGTAATGCAATTATTTTGTCATATTTTATTATGAAAAAATTCAAACATATCAAAAAGTTAGACAAATTTTACAGTGACACCTGAATACCCACCACCTTGACTCTACAATTAACACTGCACTGTTCTGTACTTAATATCTATCTGTCCCTTTTTTCATCCATCAACACATGCATTTCAACAAGTTGTAGACATCTGTCCCGGCTACTCTGGGGGTTCAGGCAGTAGCCTCCCCGCCCCCTCCAAATTGGAGATTGAACCTAAAACCAGCACATGGAGCTACATCCCCAGATCTTTGCTTTTTTAAAATTTTGAGACAGAGTCACACTAAGAGTTAAAATACCCATGCTGGGCTTGAATTTGCTTTCATCCTGCCTCAGCCTCCTAGAGAGCTGGATTACGAGTGTGTGCCTTCAAAACTGGACTACAAATTTGAAGGCGGCCTGGGCAGTTTAGCAAGGCCTTGTCTCAGAATTTAGAAAGGGGATGTAGCTCAATGGTAGAGTTCTTGCCAAGCATGTATGAAACCCTGGTTCCAACCTGCAGTTCAGAAACAAACAAAAAATAAATTTGTAGATACTGACACTTTCACTCCCATCCCCAGTACTTCTAACATTATCTAAAGTTCACTATTTATGGATTTTTTCTTTTTCAGTAAAATCATTACATTATTGCATATAATGAAATGCACACATTTTCAGTATACCTACCATTAGCTCAGTTCTGATAAATGTGTACATCTTGGAAGCCAAACACTAATTTAGCCAACTTACCAACCAAATACCACTAACAGATCAGAATTTCTGCAAGTCTCTTCCCAGTAAATCCCCACCCATGTACCCCCAGAAGAAATCACTGTTACGAGTTTTTCTCTCAAATACTTTTCCCTTTATAGAATTCAGTTTTGCCTGTTTTAAGTCTCCAAAATAATGACAGAAACATGCAATCTTCTTTGTGTAAAGCATTGCTTTTGAAGTTTATGCTATATGTCTTAGTAATTTGTTTTTATTGCTAATTTTTCATTGGATATGCCATCGTTTTATTCACTGTCCTACTGATAGAAACTAATGAGTGTTAGAAATTTTGGTTATCATAAATAAAATGGTTAGGAACATTCTTGTACAATTGTGGATGTGTTTCTTATCTCTTGGATAAATACCTGCAAGTGGAATTGCTGGCTCATAGGATAGGTATGTACTTAGTTTCTGAAGAAACTGCCTGACATTTTTTTAGAATATCTGGACTAAGCATTAATGTATAATAGTTCCAGTTTCTGTAACCCTCTGTATCACTCATTTTAATGCTAAATAGTGTATTTTGGTGAATATATAGATTATCTCATTGTGGTTTTAATTTGCATTTCCCTGATATGCTTATTGGCCATTTGTATATCTTTCTAATATTTCTGTTGAAATATTTTACTCATTTAAAAATCTGGTGTCTATTACTGAGTTTTGAGGATTCTTTATGTGTCTAGGATACTACTTCTTCAGAAATATATCTTAAAATGACTTTCTACCTCTGGCTTGACTATTTTCTTAAATCTATTTCCTGACAGAAGTTTTTAATTTTGGTGAAGGCCAATATATTAATCTTCCATGTTTGGTGGCCTTTGTATACTAAGAAATCGTTACCTCCCTCCCCATACTTCCTTACTTCTGTCCTTAGTGTAGTCAGGGTTTTCAAGGGAAATAGATTTAATACAGGACACACAGTTTATAGGATTATTTTTTAATAGTCACCCAAAAAGTCAAATGCAGAGGAGTGTAAGAGATCTAACTGCACACTAGAGACCCAAAGAATCCAGCCAACGTCCTGGATTCCACGGCAGTGTCCCACACAAATCCAGCTGAGGGCCTAGAGTCCAAGGCAATGTCCCACACAAGTCCATCCAGTGGCCTAGAGCCCATTGCAATGTCTCATGCTTGTCTGTATTGAGGATCTGCACCGGGAAGGCCCAAAGGCCAGTGGTGGAAGCCAGAAAACCTGTGCCACCAGGCTGAGGGATCTGCACTGGAGCAAGGAAGTGATGATCACAGTGAAGATCAGAGCTGCCCTGACAAGAACAGCAACCCTTCCCAGTGACAGGCCCCAAACGCCTCCTCCGATGAGAACAGCCAAATTCACATTAGGAAAACCAACTGCAGCAAGCTTCTCCTAGAAAATCAACAGCCCACGATCTTCCCCTCCAGCTCTCTTTTTATGCCACTGGCAACAATCCTCAGCTGGGTCTTCAATGCCCAGACCACATTGATTCAGTTCAGCTGGGTGTTCCAAGTTGACCATAATCCACCACAGTCCTCTTCCTCCCAGATTTCATATTTGGGTCTTTGGTCCATTTTAAAGTTTGTTTCTGTATGGTGTGAGAACAGAGTTGAGGTTCATTTTCTCCATGTGGATATCCCGTTATTCCAGTGCTATTCATTGAAAAGATAAATAGGAATGGATTTATTTCAGGAATCTATATTTTGTTCATTAATTCTCCGCTCTTATGCTAGTACCATAGTATTTCATTCCTTGCAGCTTTATACTAGGTCTTGAATTCAGGAGGGCAGTCCTCCAACTTTGTTATTCTTTTTCAAGATTTCTTTGGATATAAAATCTTTGTTTCCGTAAAAAAAACCCTATAGAATTGGTTTGTTAATTTCATCAGAAGGCTTGTGTGATCTTGATTAGGATTATGTTACATCTATTTTGGGGGAATACTGACATTTTGACAATTCACAAATGAGATTTATCTGTCCATATGTTTAAGTCCCACAAACAAGCTTTTGCACAAAGATCTTGCATATCATTTATAAATCCATTCTAAAGTATTGTTACTTTGATCTTATTGTAAATGGAACTTAAAAAGTTTTTCATTCGTTTGCTATAGTGTATAAACATACAAATGAGTTTTGCAAATTAACTTGAATCCTGAAACTTTGGTAAATTTACTCATTAGTTGGAGTTGTTTTGTCATTTAAGTTTCTATGTAAATAACCATGGCATTGGAAATAGAGCTTTTGCTTCTTCCTTCTCAATCTCTTTTTTGTTCTTGTCTTATTGCAATGTCCAGGACCTGAGTACATTATTGAATAAAGAGGTAGAGGCAGATCTCCTTGCTTTAAGATTGTGTGTGTGACTTCAGTTTATCATTGTTACATATGCTGCTAGCTGTGGGTTTTTCACAGAAACCCTTTATCAGGTTGTCCTTTAATTTTTACTTTTAGTTTTCTGAAGTTTTTTTTCCCTTTAAATAAAGCACGGACGTCTAGGCATGAGATTATACCTGTACCTGAGATTATAGGCATTCTTTTTCTTGACGTTTGCACATCTTTTTTAATTCATGTATTTTAACATATCTTTATGTATTGAAGTGAATTGTGTGTGTGTGTGTGTGTATGAGCAGATACAAGTGGGTCCTTTTTGGGGGGAGGGTAAGTTACTTCTGATAATTTCCACATTTTAATTGGATGACCAAACAAAACTCATTCAATGTAACTATTTTATATCTGTACTGTTTGGTAGGGTACTGTAATATGGTACCAACATCTGAGCACTTGAAATGTGCTAGTATAACTAAGGGACTGAACTTTTACTTTTATTTAATGTTCAGTTCAGTTTTTAGCCCTAACTATGAAAACATAATTCAATGGTCAGCCCAAGATCTAAGTAGAGTTTCGGTAAGATACAGACCTTGGGAAGCCTCTCTCTGGCTCTCTCTTCTCTGTCATTTCCCTTTTACTCCCAAGAGGCTTGGTTGCTCTCAACTGTCCATTCTGGGAACATTCCCGAACTCGGGACCTTGCACTTGTGAGGCAGGTGGCGGAACCACTGAGCTAAATCTCCGGCCCATTCTGATTCTTCAGGCCAGTGAAACTGTAGATTTTCCACTGGAGATTTGCTGTTCTGCATGACTTGACCTTAGGCTAAAAGTAGTAGGAAATAAGCAGCTCACCCAGTGTGGTGCTTTTCTTCCAGAAGTTGACTCATCCCGTTTCTACCTGCTTTTGGTCACTTTCAGTGTCTTTATGTAGTTGGATTTTAAAAATAAGTTTTCCCCAGAGCCTACAGATTTTATTTGAGAAACAGTTGGTTCAATAGAAGCCATTTAGTTTTGTCAGAAATCTGAAATTAACTTAGGTTCCCCCCCCATACATTTTATATATATATATATATTTTTTTTTAGTTAGGGTCTTGCTATGTAGTTCAGGCTGGCTTTGAATTCACTATGTAACCCAGGCTGGCCTTGAACTCTCAGTGATGCTACTGTCTCAGCCTCTTGAGTGCTGGGGTTACAGATGTGTGGCACCATGCCCAGTTATAATTAAATTTTCAAACAAATCAAAGTTGCAAGAATACCGTAGCAACTTGTAAATCCACAACTAGATGTGCAATTGAAATTTCCTATATTTATCAGACATCTAGCCATCCATTTATACACCTTACATTTCAGGCATTTCAAAGTAAACCATAGACATTAATACACTTGACCCTAAATACTTCCACAAATGTATTATTAACTATTGTTCAACACTTGTTTAGTTTTTGCTTTATGATGTAGAATTTATAAGTACACTTAATATACACACTTGAAATTTATATTGAGATTTTTTTAAAACCCGGCTTTGAGCTATAATTTACATACAATAAAAACTACCAATTTGGTGTATAATTCATGGGGTTTTTGTAACATGCAATCAACACCATAAGCAGGATAGAAACTTTCCTATTATCCTCCTAAGTTGCCTCCTGCTGTCACTCCATTCTCTCCACTGCCATACTTTTTTCTAAAAGCCACTCTGTTCTGCTTCAAGTGGAAGCCAGGGTGCCACTCCCCAGAACAAGAATTAGAGGCCACAGGGAGAGGCCATTGTTAGGGTTTGATCTAAAATGTCCCCAAAATCTCATGTATTCAGGGATGGGGCTTTTGAAAAGCGATTGGATCATGGGGGCACTATATTAAAGAAAATTTCCCCTAGAGCTTATAGCTTTTGAGAAAGAGTTGGTCCAACAGAAGCTATTTGGTTTTGCTAGAAATGTGATATTAATCCCCCCAACATTTTATATTGAAAATTTCAAATGCAAAGTTGCCATCAGTGGATTAATCCTTTGATAAATTCATAGCTGAATGTGCTGTGTGAGGTGGTGGGGCAGGTTACTGGGAATGGGACCTGAAGGGTTTATTCTTGTCTAAGGCTCCTCATCTCCCTGCTTTCTGACTACCATGAGGTGAGCAGCTTTCCTCTGCCATACCCTTCTGCCATGATGTTCCCGACTTAAAGCCAGCTGACTATGGACTGAATCCCCCCAAACCATGAGCCAAATTAAACCTCAAGTTGTGGGTCTGAGGTATGCATCTCAGCAAGGAGCAAGCTAATACAATCACCCACTGCCTAATGTGTCCTAGAGGGTGAGAGAAGAAAGATGGAAAAGCAGAGCTAGGATCCTGGGCTTTTTAGAAGTGTCTAAGAAAGTGTCTTAAGTGACCACAGCACACTCCTCATGGTAGATTTGGTCAATCCCAGCACAAAGATACCCATTGCTTGAGCTTATTATGCCATCAGAGGAGTTCAGGAAGCTGGAGCTTCCTTTCATCATCTTAAGAGGGATGAAATCTTGGACAGGTTCACATCCTCTTTGAGCCTGAATTTCTTCATTTGTAAAACCTTTATAAAACAGGGGTGAATGGGCCATGCTTGGCATGTACCATAATAGACCTTCAAGTATTTCTTGTTGGAAGCTATTTTATAAATAGTAAAACTCTTGACCATGCAATTATTTTAAATTTCCACAATGTTGTTTCTGATATTGAAAGATGGTTATATAAACTTTTTTTTTTTTTTTTGCAAATTTAGACATTCTTATAATATCAAAAACAAAACATCCCCCCAAACCTTGTTCTACTGCTGCCTCATGGACAACCTCTCTCCCCAGGCCACTGCATGACCACTCTGCCAAGGCTCCCCTTTTGCCTTTGTGGTGTTCCCCTCCCAGCACATCACAACTCTTCCTTTCTTTTTATACCTGCCCCAGCATGCAACTGCTCTGCTGACATTTGGTTTCCTCCCAGCCCAATCAGATCATCCTTCCACATCTGTTTCCATCAGGTTCGAGAACCAAACGCCCAGTTACTCCTATCTGGATTACATGATGAGGAAGCTGCTTAGAAAAACATCTCTGCATGTGAGCCCTTCACTGTGGCTTACAAGGCACACCCAGCTGCTTCCTCCCCAAACCTGCAGACCCTCACCTCCTCTTCTCTCTTCACCAGCCATCAAATCAACTTACTCCTGGAGCTCACACTGACATAGACTCCCCAGCCCTATCCTTGGTCCCACTCAACTAGCATGGTAACCTTTCTTCCCAAGAAGCAGTGGGCACTAAAAACCTAGTCCTTTAAAGGCAGGAAGTACGTGAGCTCTGGAGAGTCTTTTGAGGTGTGCTTCTGAGAGGCTGATTCGAGAGACATGCTTCCATGGGAACAGAGCCCCTTTCCAGGAGATCCAGTGGCCTCTTCACCACCTTGTAGCAGTCAGGACTTAAATCTATCCATCTTCTAGAAACCACCCATGTTTAGTAGTCTGGCAGCAGGATCTGTGGAAGAATGCTAATTTCTAGAAGCAGACATTATATTCTACACTGGTATATTCTACCCTGCTCTAAGTGTCCCAGGACTGCCATTTCCAAGTACTTTTAAACCTTTATAGAGTTGCTGCCACTGTTCAAAGAGCACCATTTTACTTGATCCATACAACCCAAGAGTCAGTGCCAGTTTACAGGCGAGGACAGGAAGCCTCAGGCACAAAGTGACTTGCCTAAGGTCTCAGGTCTTAGGGGAGCAGAATTGTGACTACACAATTCTAATGAGTCCTGAGTGTTTGGTAGCTGTGTCACCTCCCAAGCCACTGCCCAGGTTTCTGTTTTTATTCAGAGTGGATGAACTAGCAAATCTAGGAAAGAATACATCTTACATTGGAACCCTGACCACATTCACAGATATGCAAATTGAGACAAAATAGCCTCACTTTGTGCTACACCCAAATATTTTATTAAAAAGGACTAGTCTTGACTCACGGAGTTGATTTTGTGATGTGCTAATGGCGATTTCATGACTCACAAAGGGTGATGACCCAGAGTTTGAAAATAGTTCCACAGAGCTCATAGTACCAGGACTCATTTATTTATGCAGCTTTTTCAGAAACCTGGGTTTTTAAACTTCTCTACTTGGTTTCCTTTTGCTTTTAAATAAATTCTACTAGCTTTGTACAAATTAAGAGGCATAAGCAGGTCCCTTTGGTAAAATATTAAACCTTTACAACTAGAGACACTTCACTGCGGAGTAAACACCAGGCATTTCTCATCCATCCTGGGAGATCCCCACCCCCTTCTCCAACTCCAGGGCAGCCCCAGGATCTGAAGTGGACACATGGGGAACAGACAGGAGGTGGATCTACAGCCTCATGCTGAAGCTTCCACAAAAGTATTTTCTTTTCCCTGGAATGAGCAGTTGGAAGGAAGTTGGGATCCTGGGACCGTGGGGGGTTTCAGTCTCCAGGTGGAGAGAGACAGCTTGCTTGAGAACAACACCCAGATCCTGGAGAGTAGGGCTGAAACCTGGAGATGGTCTTGGTTACCCTATGGGATACCTCCAGTCCATTCACGGACTCCTGGTGAAGTCTCTCTTCTTCCACAAACATAGTTAACCTGGTTTGTTACTATTAAAAAAAATCCTAATGCATCCTTTCATTAAAATATTGACAAAATGTTATTGAATAATACTCATAGATACTTCTAACCTTTCTGAACAAGTATTGCAATTGTTATAATTTCTAAACAACCTATAAGCTGGGCATAGTGGCACATGCCTGCAATCCCAGCAACTGGCAGGCTGAGGCAGGGGGATCGCCATGAGTGCGAGGTTGGCCCAGGCTACATAGTGAGTTCAAGACCAGCCTGAACTAATAGCAAGACCCTGTCTTGCTATAAAATCTTGCTACAAAAGGAACAGCAGATGTGGGACCAAATGACTTGGAGATGTGAATAATAAACATTGGTCAGACTGTATTTTAATTCGAGCTTTGTGTAGGCCTAAAAAGAATAAAGAGCCATCTACATGCAACACTTGGCATCTGCTTTGAGCCAGACTAGCCTGGAACTCTGTAAAATATGGACTTCAGACTGTACTGAGACTTGCAATGCTCTGGTCCCTGTCTGTTTATCACCTGTTACCGAGAGGTATCTTTGTTTTATGGAACCCCAGAACCCCATTTCATGAACCACCTCCCCCTGCCTAGCCCATATCTTCTATGCTGACTTTTCGGTGACATCTGGCCTGACTCCTTACGCTCTATCCTAGCTTCTAGTGAGTCAACACAAACAGCAGGCTTCAGCTGCAGAACCTAACAGAAAAGACCCAACAATGCAGTTTCCAGTTCTCCATGTTCCACCTCAAAAGGAGTCTGCTCCTCCAGTTCTGTCTGGCTTGAATAATTCAGTCACTCAGTTCTGCATACGGATGTGACAGTGGTTGATTTTATGTGCTGCCAGTTAGTTCAGTCACGCCAACCATGACTTGCTGTTACAGTGCATGAAAATACACCCGGTCTTGTATCTTCAGTTTCATCTCATGTACACAAAGCCTGTTCCTAGGCTCAGCTCGGGCACATCTGCCACATTTATTGCCTGGACCCTCACAGTACAGCACAGCTTAGTGTTCAAATCCCAGCTCCGTCCTCACCAACTGTGTGACTTTGCAAATCTTAAGTGGAGCAACCAGTACCTTCTTGATAGGGATATGATGAACACTGACCATGGAACATCTCCTGCCACTAACAGCTCAGTACTTGCTGGTTGATGCCAATGCTCAGGGACCAGTGGACAAAGGCTAGGCTAAGAGTTGGGTCCTGGTTGTGTCATCGCTGGCATTTCCTGGGAACAAGTGGCTGCAACTAGCCCCTCATCTGATCTGTCTCATCGTTTGTGTGTGAATCCTATTATATAAGCAATGGCTTCCTAAGACATAAGTTACTAGTTGATAAAATCACAGTAAGAAATGGTAAAGTCTGTGGTACTCTTGTTCTGGATATTGCTTGAAATAAGTGGGCTATTAAATTTGAAAAATAGGTTAGATCATAATGGGATCTAACCTATGTGTAACATGCAGTTACCATATAGTCAATAGAATTTTTTTTTGGTACTGGGGACCGAACTTGGGTCCTTGCGCTTGCGCAGCAGGCAACGAAACCACTGAGCTAAATCCCCAGTCTAGTCAATAGAATTTTAGATTTAGCCCTACACTGTAATTCACCAATTTATTCCTGCTGGTCACTGAAGTCCTATGTAGACAACTGCCATAATTTGTCACATGTAAGTAATACAATCAATCATTATAATTGCTACGTTTTATAAATGTAAATAAAGAATGCCTATCTAAACTCTTTTTCAAGGTACTCAACAGGCAGAAGCAAGCATTCCCAAGGGATTCTCTTTTTATGAAATCTAAAGGAAGAGGTTATAGCTATAGTTCTTTGATAATGAAAGTCACATGTCCCAAGATAGGAATTTTAAAACATCTACATCATTCAAAAATGGTTTCACAATGGATCAAGTAATTGTAGGTATTGTCTCCTTAGAAAATAAACTTGGAATTTCAAATGGAAGAAAAAGACTGACAAAAATCAAATTCAAGAGTCTTATTTTAAACATACTAAGTCTGATGCATAAATCATGCTAATGACTTCTATTAAGGAAAAACCACATAACTTCTACCCTAGATTCCAGGAAAAGAAAGCTCAACCTGTGCGGTGTGGTGTGGTTGCAGGAATGCACACACTTCTGAGGCAGCAGAGTCTTGGTTCCACTGTTTGATGAGGGACCTTCTGTGATTTAACTCCCTTGAATCTTAGTTTCCTCATCTGTAAAATGGGGCTAACAATGGTGCATTCCTCAAAAGGCAATATGAAGATTAAGTTAAAAGCATAGGAATTGAAATATAGGAAGAACTCAGAAAACATGATTTAACTATCGTGAAAAAAATACAACCTCCCAAACCAGTGAACGTCAAGGGTGATTTATATTACACTAAGGTTAAAAACAGGTAGCTTTTCCCAGATAAGTTGATAAATAATTTAAAAATCCAATCTCCCACCCTCCCCCCAAGAGGCTGGTAGCAGACTGTTCCTCCCTTCCTGTGACAACTCATGAGCAGTGGGGGACAGAATGGCAGGCAAATCCCTTCAGGTTGCCAGGTGTCAGATTTGCCACTTCTCTGCCTTCACACTTTTTAGGTCTCTGTGACGCTCAAGCCCTCAGCACATTCTGCTGGAATTCATTATCTCCTGTGAAAACCTCATTCAGGCTACACGTCTTTTTCCACAAAAGGATGTTAGGTAAGACTGAAAAAGAGCAAGATACTGTACACCTTTTTATGGAAAAAAAAAAAAAGGCAGTGGTTCCTTTTGGCCACATGTAGAAAAACTCTCCTATAGGTGGGCATGGTGGCACCCACCTTTAATCCCAGCTACTCAGGAAGCAGAGGTGGGAGGATTCTAGGGTTTGAGATCGAGCTGGGCAATTTAGTGGCGGGGAGGAGAGAAGAGAAAGGAGAGAGATGGGGGGGCGGAGAGAGAGAGAGAGAGAACCAGCCAGCCCAAGCAAGGCATCTTTCTCAGTCTCCTTTGTTGGCGGTTTACAAAGACGCTAAAGGTTGACTCATGGTAGTTTGTTCTCATCGGTGTATAAAGCCACTGGACAATGTTTCTGTGAGTCCACAGAGGGTGCCAGGAGATGGGAAAAAGGGACAGAAGGGGCCATCCTGCTTCCCATGGATAGAAAGGAGGGGAGCATGCTTCAAGTGGGAAGGAGTAACTACTGAACCCCAATCTGAGAAGAACTGAACCACAATTTCTTCAAAAAAATGAATGTGCAGGTTTGATGGTGCTTTTTTCTTTTAATACCACTCTGGATAATTTAGCAGTCCCATTGAAAAAAGGACCACGTGGGCAGAAATGCTTACTTTTTGCATACCACATGTTCTTGATTATTTATTTATTTGCATACCACAAGTTCTTGATATTCTTGGGGCACCATTTCCCCTGAGTCCTAGTAACGATGTTGAGGAAATGCATGCCGCTGGCCCTACCTTGCCGGCCTGGCTTGGCCCTGCCTCCTGTGAACCCATGCTCATGGGCAGGGGGCACCGCACTGCTGACCCCCACCAGGGGCAAAGTGACACGGATTGCCCAGTGTGACCTTGGGTTGTGCCCAGCCTGCTCTGCACAACCTCTGTCTAGGTGGCCTCCACGGCCCCGGAGAGTCTAGAGGAGTGGGCTGGGGAGCGGATCTGTGGCAAGTACAGACAGATGAGCAGCAAACCCATAGTGCCCCTCACAGGCATGACTGCCATCGTGCTGACTGGCTCGGTCCTGCTCCAGGGCAGACTGACCACTAGCAGCCATTTCCGAGGTGCCCCTGATGATGGAGGGGCTCGCTGAGTGCTGCTCGGAACCTGGTGCCGCCACCACCACGTCCCCGACCCCTCAAGGATGGGAGCATCAAACCTCAGGGTCTTCACCCAGCTGACCGTGGGACGTCTGCTTGGGGCTGGCCCCACCATGACAGTGGCATCAACTGCCAGCACGGGGGACCGTCCAGGTTCCTCACTACAGTCGGCTCATGTGATGAGCGTGTGACACTGGCACCTACACAGAGGCTAGGGCCAGACAAGCTTTAGTTTTCTTACCCATGAAATGCAGTGGTTTAACTAATTCTGTGGCTTTCATGTTTTTTTTTTTTTTTAAAGCAGAAAAATATCCCAAATAATATCCTTGATGGAATCCCAACATGTGAAGTGGAGCTTCTCTGCTGGAAGGTGAGAGGAGCCCCTGCAGCCCTGTCTCCCCAGCCTCCTGTGTCACCCCGACACCCCCAGCCAGACTCCACCAAGGGCTGGAGCTGCTCACCAGCCTCAGCCATGGATCCCAGGAACATCTGCAGATTCAGGTTCTGCCACTCCCAAAAGGCACACTCAGAAAGCAAAGAGAGGCAGGAGTGAGAGAGCAAAGGATCGAACTCTTTCTCTGAAAAGCTCCTGTTTGGATGAAGGGCACCTCCGGAGACAGAGAGGAAGTACCAAGTGCAAAGTCAAGCTTCAATTCAGAACAGCTGACACCATCATGAAAGTCTACATTCCCAGGAGAATAATTTCACATCTATATATGTACACTTTTTTTTTTTAACATCGTGAAGTTTAATTGCTTTCTTCCCAAAGCATATAAAAGTGAGTTAAGAAAATAGCACCTTTTTTGTTTGTTTTTGGTACCGGGGATCGAACTCAGGACCTTGCGCTTGTGAGGCAAGTAGTGGAACCACTGAGCTAAATTCCTGGTCCAAAATAAAGTAGGAATGTCAGTAATGACCATTAAAAGTCTAACACCCGTGTTCACAAAAGCAACCTTTGCAGAGTTTTATAGAGGTGCAAGTAAGACTTTAAGGAAAGTGAATACTGAGTACAAACAAGAACATTTAGGGTCTGAGGCTCAGCAACATCTTACGCTCCAATTTCACAGGGCTTTAGGATTCTCAGGAGGGCACCCACATATTCCCGTGTCTATCTGGTGCTTTGACATAAGGAATGTTCCAAATCCATGGCCGGTCTGGAGAAAGAACACATCATATAGATATTTGAACAGGATCACAGGAAAATTTCTCACCTGATGGGACAAAAGCACTTGTGTGCTAGGTTCTCCGACCTATAACGAATGTATTCTGAATGAACCCCAGAAGATACCCCTGCGGACACGTTAGGACACAGGGCTCAATGAGCAAGGGAGAGGCAGGTAGGCTAGCAGAAGGACCCCAGAGGCGAATCTGGCCCTGCCACCAAGCTGAGTCACACTGCAAGTCATTCAGCAAGCCGAAACCAATTTCCTCATCTGAACCTATGTCGTGGACCTGTCACAAGGAATAAATGAGGCAAATCATGGCGCATGGAAGACACAGCATCTGGCATATGGCAAAGGTTCAGCTTTTGTTGTTGTTGAAGGTTCACAACTAATGCGACGTGAAGTCTCTGTTATATGATGCAGACCTATATCAAAAGAGGCAGCACGCCTGGGCACGGTATGCTGGAGAGAACTCTGAGGACCTGTGTCCAAATGCCATCTCCATCCCGCTCAGCACCTTAGCGAAGGCATTGGTTTTTGGCCTTGGTTCCTCCTCTGTGAAATAGGAAATTATTACATTAGCAACTGCCAGGGATTACTATGAAGCTAAATGAGAACATCTGTGCAAGTTCCTGGCCTGTTGTAGGTGTTCGATAAACAGGAATTTTTCTTCTTCTAACTGATTTTTTCAGAAATTGAAAATAACTTCAACAAATCACTCTCGCTATGCATCACTACCGCTAGAGTCACACCATTTCAAAAGAGCCATAACATGGGTAGGGTATAAATATATCACAAGGATTAAAAATAAATCCCCAACTTTGAAGGGCTGCAGTGCTTATTGTAAACTTCCACTTCCCAGGTCTAAAAGAGACTGCCAGGCTACTGCAATGTGCTCGCCTTCTCAGGGACCCTTCCCTCTCCCCTCCACAGACGTGAGGGCAGCTCAGAGGACAGTCGGGCAAATAATGGTCTCTGTTGCGCTTTCCCTGCAGCAGACCTCGCTGATTGTGTTCAATAATCTCAGAGCAATCATGCAAACAGGAGCACCCAGCAGGATGTGCAGGAAAAGAGTTCCAAAATGGCAACAAATTATCAGAACATTGTTGATTGCCTTTGGCCTTGGGAAGGTTGGAAAGCATGAAACCAAGTTCTCTTTGTTAATTTAACAAGCTTGTGGAGAGTAGTAACCCTGCTTTATGTGTTTGTTTCATAAGAGGTCCAGGGACTGGCAGGGTAATGGAGGAGGGCCTGACTCCCCACTGATTTAACTAAACCCCCATTCTCTTCTATTGGAAACACATCTTCTGTGCCTGGACCTCTATTATTTACCAATCTTACTGCTCTGTGGGGTAAAATCAGCTATGCTTGATTCCCAAGGTGGAGGGAATAAAGTAGATGATAGTGATGTTCTTCACAGTAATACGGGATTTGTGACGCAGGCATTTACTAAGTAGCAGCGTCAAGATCACCACTCCATTTATTCCTTTTCCTCAAAGTTACACAATAAGGACTGAGGAAGGGTCTGGTAACCTCCTTGTTGGCAAATTCCCTGCAGCTCTGCTTTATAAATGAGCAGAATGTCCGCACGGTGGGCCGATCATCCATTATGCTGGCTGACAGGTCTATGTGAACTTCTACGCAAACTAGAGGGAAAGCCAGAAAAACAGCCCCAGAGACAGGACTGGGGCTGGGATTTGGCTCTTTTTACCCTCTGCTACTGGAAATCAGCATTAAAAGTGGCCTAGAGGAAACTTTAACTTTAAGCAACCTCCTGAATTGTTCCATGAGAGAATAACTGGCCTTATAATACATTTATGCATATTTAAAGTGCTAGCTAGACACCAGGGACTTTGATAGGTGTTCTGGACAGACAGGGGAGAAAAGCCCGACATGCAAGCCTCATGCAGCTTACAGCCCAGGTGAGCAGGATGCCCAGGGAGATGGCATTCTGACACTCACCATGTCTGTGGAGCAGCTCCCTAACCTGACCCACAAGAGACTCACTTGTCAGAGAAAGTGCATTTCCCAGGACCCAGACCAGGCTGGGGCCTGGCAATGTGTGGTTGTATCAAATTCCAAAGGTGATCTGGCTGCAGTCAGAGTTTGGGATGCAAGGCTGAAGGGGATGGGATGCTGTTTTGTTCCCCCTGGAATAGAACGTGAAGATTGTAGAGAGGGGAGGGGCGTGACCAGGTGTGCTTGGCAGCAGTGTAGAGGATGGCTTCCGGTGGGAGGAGAGAGGCTGTGAAGGTGAACGCGGTGGGGGGGGGGCAAGGTCTGGTGAGAACTGAGGAGGCCTAGTCAAGGCTGCAGCTGGGAACGGGAGCCTGCAGGGCTCCGATGTCTTTGTCTTTATATGGCTGCATTGTGCTCATCTTAGGCCTTTTTGCTAACTCCAGAACTCAGTGCTTGCAGAGGGAGCTCAGGGCAATGGTAAAGGGGCGTGGATGCTGGGGCCAGCCTGCCTGTGGGACCTGACCAAGTTAACCCGAGGGTCCTAGGTTCCTCATCTGGAATTGGGGGTGGCACTACAGTACTCAGCACGCAGCTGTGAGGATACCATGAAATAATTCAGGCCATATGCTCGTATTTGCTCCTGGTACATAAATAGTGCTTAATGAAGTGCTAACTACTGTTATAATTACCACCATCTCAACTCACAGGGGCTGAGGATTGTCATTATCCTATACACTGTAGGTTCCCAGCGGTTTTGTTTTTTTTTTTTGTACTGGGGACCGAACTCAGGACCTTGCACTTGCGAGGCAGGCAGTGGCCGAACCACTGAGCTAAATCCCCAGGCCCCCTCAGCAGTTTTCAACAATCAGATAAATTTTAAAAATTGGTGATTTTTCTTTATCAGAAGACTTCTTGAAAAAAATACTGTTTCTGTTAGCATAATGGGTTTGGTTGTATACAACTTCAGGAGAGACAACTTGGGCCTCCCTGGTTTACCAATATATACCCAGGCACCCAGACAGAGCTTGCACACAGTAGGAATCCACCGAGAGAATGGATAAACAGCAGTTATTGCACAAAGCAGGGAACCCTGGTAGCTCAGTCTGTTTCTGCTTCACTTCATTTGATCTTTTTTTTTTTTAATTTCAAGATATCTGCCCATAACTCTTAATGGCAGGTGTTTTTGTTTTGTTTTGTTTTGCAGTAACAGAAATTGAATCTGGGGCCTTTGCACTGAACTATAGCCCCGGTCCTTTTTTAAATTGTTAAATTTTGAGGCAGGGGCTCACTGAATCACTAAATTGCTCAAGCTGGGATTGAACTTGTGACCCTATTGCCTCAGGTTCCTAGAAGGCTGGGATTATAGGTGTGTACCACTGCATCTGGCTCATGGCAGTACATTTCTTTGCTAAGCTTTTTCTCAGGGTTTATTACTTTTATTTAATCTTTCAAAGAACCAACTCTTCAATTCATTGATTCTTTATATTGTTTTTGTAGTCCCAAATACATTAATTTCTGCTTTGATCCCTATAATTTCCTCTGCTAAGCTTTTTCTGTAGTCTTTTTTTTTTTTTTTGGTACCGGGGATCGAACTCAGGTCCTTGTGCTTGCACAGCAGGTGGTGAAACCACTGAGCTAAATCCCCAGCCCTTTCTGTAGTCTTTTGGTTTACAAAAATATGAAACAAGATACCAGGTATATGTTATAATGGTTTGAAAATCACTTTTTAAAAATGAAATGCTTTTAGAATGTTCTTGATCACTTATTTTTCTACATTTTAGTAAAATGCCTTTCTATAATCCACGTGGCTCCCTCGAATGCTGCTACATCTGAACCAGTGAACCAGTGATATGTGAGTTACTGGCATTATTATTCTACATGGTATTGAGGCAGTGTAGAAGATGAAATAGTATTGACAAAATAAAATGCTTCAGTTTTTCTTGTATCTTTCAAAGAAAATGCCTAAGAAACAAGAAAAGTTCAGTGAAACACAAAGCATTCTGCTTGCTGGCCAAATAGATTTATCATCATTCCACAGTCTAAGCTATAACCCAGGTGTAAATTGAGATCTTGATGATGCTTTTTCTGCTGAAGGAGATGGAACCTCAGAATATTTCTAAGATTCTCCTAGTTCTTTCATTTTTGCTTTTCTGCTCATCTGGAAATACAGGGAAGATGGCTGTGGGAATCCAGCCAGGGTTATGGAGTACAAGATCCAAGGTCAGACCTGGGGGTTAAGCCCAAGGAAGTTCTATCAGGACCCACCTCTACTGTGTTTATTCAAGAGAACTCAGGTTAAAAATGGAAAAGGCCAGTTAATTTTCCTGCAATCCCACCTACAGGGGGGCCCTGAGGGAGGCAGAAGGGCCGTAAATTCTAGGCCAGCCTGGGCAATGTAGAGACCTCGTCTCAAAATAAATAAAAGGGCTGTGTGTGTGTATGTGAGTGTGTGAGTGTGTGTGTGTGTGTGTGTGTCTCAGTGCTTCCGGGGTTCAATCCCAGAATCACCAAAAAGAGACAGACAGGCAGACAGACAGAGGAAGGGGGAAGACGAAGGGAAGGGGAGAGGGGACCTAAATAGAGAAGACAAAAGCATAGCACTAAAGTGAGAAGGGGGAAGTGACTGTCCTATGCCAGCCTTATTAGACTTTTAAAAGGCACTGTTCCAAGGTAAAGGAGAGGGGAGAGAATTCCTGCTAATTCTTGTTCTGTTATGTGCCACAAACTGAGTAGCCGCTGTAAATAGGACAATTATGAAAACTCTGAGCTAAACACTGTATATTAAGCACATTATAGATATCATCTCAGTTAATTTTTTCAGCACCCCGTAAGGCAGGCACTCATATTTACTCATTTTGCAGAGAGATACAAGGGCCTAGAAAAGTAACTGCTCAAGGCCACTTAGGAAGCTGAAGAGCTCGCACGTGACCATGGCCTGGCTTTAGATCATGATTTTCCTCTTTAATTGGTAGCAGGTGGAGTGATCACAGATTCCTTGAAATTCTGATAAAATCTATATAACCTTGCTAATAGAAAAGAAATCTTCATGAACATATAGCGAACTTAGCAGAGTTACATCATAGATGGTTTGGGAAGAGAGGAAGGAGAAGAATGCTTTGGAACCTTACTATCAACACAAATGATCAGAGAGCACAGTCACTTGTAAGGCACGATGACATGCTGACAGCAGGAGAGGGGACTGGCTTTGACAGATGCATCAGTGTGATCTAAGAAACGGGCCCGTGGTGGGAGGGAGGCTGGGGAAGTTGCCGGGGGCCAGGCAGCATCATATAAGCAAGAGAAGGCCCTATGGGTGAGGCCAGCTCCCTCAAGGAAATGGTTTGGAATATTAATGGAGTGATGTCATTAAAACTTTGGGGTTTTTTTGGTACCGGGGATCGAACTCGAGTCCTTGAGCTTGCGAGTGGAACCACTGAGCTAAATCCCTGGCCCTGTCATTAAAACTTTCCAATCAAAAAAGTTTTCCCTCTTCAGATCTAGTACTTGTGTAGAAAACCTGCAGATTAGAATTTTGCTACTCATGTGGGTCTCTAGACTCCAGGGGAAAAGATGCTGGGTATGGTGATGTAATGAGCACTTGCCATTGTAAATTATTAATTGTGTCCTAATTGCACCACTCATCTGAGTGCGTATGGATGGCCTGGCCAGATGTGAGGCTGGATCACATCTAGGGCGGACCTGGGGGCGGTGGATGGGGGGATGGAGAAGCTGCACCTCAGCCGCAGGCTCTGAGGACATGGGACCTCCTATGGATCTTCCCAGGGATTTGCTATAGTGAAATGTATGTGATCACTGTCCTTAGGAAATTCATAGTCTAGTGCAGCAGTTTTCAAAATGTGGCAAGGGGACCTCACTAAGCCGTTATTTGTTATGTTCACTGTCACATTCACACAGGTGTGCAGAGGCGAGTTGATGCAATGTACCAACAGATCGGGAGGACCTGTGACACTTCGGCGGCCTCTCATGATGCATAATAGAGAGGCGTGTGAAAACATTAAATCATGAACACTTTGCTTGCTAATTTTTCTTCTAATTTTAGATACAGTCATTAAAATGTTGCAAGGGATTATTTTATTATTATTTTTTATTATGGCTGTACTAGGGACTGGACACAGGGCCTTCGCACTGAGCTCCATCCCCAGCCTTTAAAAATAAATTTGTTTTTTGAGACAGGGTCTCACTAAGTCACTAAGTTACCTAGGCTTGAACTTGGGATCCTCCTGCCTCAGCTTCCTATAGTGCTGGGATTACAGGACTGTACCACCATGTCTGGCCCTAACTAAGAAGTCAATAAGTAAAAATTTCTTGGTTCTAATTTCTAATATAGTAAACATGAATAGATATGAAGCCTCATGTGAATAAAAGCTCTTCATGCTGCTCAATAATTTTAAAAAGTACAAAAGGGTTTTAAGACCAACCAGTTTGAGGGCTATAGCTCCAGTGGCCCAGACAGACTGCTGCAAACCTGACAGAGGGTTCCACAAACCAGGCTCCCACTGAGAGAGGCCAACAGCATCTGTTGGCTCTTTTTGCTTCTAGCACATCACCCCACCCATGGTTCCCTGTGCCCATGTCTCACCTTTACTTCCGTATAGTTCCGGAGGCAGGTCGTATGGCACAGGGAAGGGAGGTGCAAGCTCCTGGCTGCCAGAGGAGAATTTCTGCTTCACCTTGAAGCTGGCCAGGCCCTGCAGACACACAGAAGAAACCTATGATTATATTCCATTTTCTAAAAAGAACCAGAAGACCCCAAGAAACAATTACGTCCTTTGGAGAGCCACAAAAACTCCAAGTGATTTCAGAGCTATTTTCAATGTCCGATAGGCAAATATAATTGTAACTTTCCCAAATTATTTTCTTTCCTAAAAATAAGAGAGGCTTACATTTCAGGAATTAAGTTTTCAAGAGTTTAACAAAAGATAGGAGGGAATCAAAAACAACATTTCTGGAGATTACAGCCCATTCTACTAAACACTATGTACAGGCTGGCAGGGAGTCTTGTAGAATTCACTGTATAAAAATACCTCGAAATACTTTCAATATTGCTATAGTAACAGACTGCCTGCTCAGGAGTAAGATATAAAAGTTGTTCTTGTGTATAATGAAAATGTTCCAGTAGGAATATAAAAATGAAAAATTTTTAAGAACTACCAAATGTAAGGTTCATTCCATGACCTTTTGAGCAGGGTGTTAATCTCAGGTGTGGAGGGGGGGGGGCTGCCCCCTACCCAGGCCGATGAGCACACTGCCTTCCTTCTGCCGCAGGGCAGATGCTTCATACACTAGTAATGTCCCCAGGCCTCCACACACAAGCTTTTTCCAGGCTTTCCTGGCTCACCCTGGCACTCCGCTTTTTAGTCTATCCAGCTGTCTCTTGTGCCTCTTTACTAACCCCTTGTGGTGGTGGGCTTATTTGCCTAACTTAACACAACCTCGACAGGACACTAAAAGGGAAGGTGCTGACTGCAGCTTCCACCCAGTTGAAACTGGAATACAGTGTAAGCAGGACAGCGAAAAGCAGCACACCCTAGTGGTGTCAGACGGGCTGCCCACCCAGATTATGATGCTAAGATTTCACAGAAGATAGGAAAGGAGAACACATGATAAGCTCCACTTCTCCGCCTGCCCTTCACTCTTCCTCAGGCTTCCCCTTCCTGGGAAGCCCAAGATCCCCTATAAATCCACACCCTTTGACCTAGGGGAGCTTGGGAACTTCCATCACTAGATGCCCAAGTACTGATTTGTGCGACTCAGCAGAGTTCTGTTTGACTGGGACTACTGTCTTGGGGTCCCCACTGGGGCAAGGGCCCAGAAGTAGAGAGGTTAATGAAGTCCCCTTGTGGGTGAGGCTTGTGACATACAGGAGTCCTGGTTATACAGTCTGGAGAGAAACATTAAGCAAACACATTTCTACAAGTAAAATAAATAATCACAATTTGTAGCAAGTGCTGTGGGAACAGCCAGGAGTATTACAAGGGAACAGCAGGGCTTTGGAAGCAGGATTTGGGGGTTGGGCAGAGGAGGGCCAGCAGAACCCTCCCTGTCATTAAACCGTGGAAGAAGAGGAGAGCTTGAAGTGGGAGTGGGAAGAAGAATGTTCCAGGTGGAGGGAAAAGCAGGGTGGCTAAGATCTTTGTGCATTCTGGAAATTAAAATAGATGGTCGGTGGGACAGGTGGGTACTTTTGTGTTGGTCTCAATTTCCTCCTTGGTGAAAGTGGGATGGTAAAGCTCCTGGTGGTCATCATGCTGACGTTTCTAACTTCTGCGCCCGGCACAAGCCCTGGTGCACAGCAGGTGTGTAAGGAACGCGGAGCTGCAGACACGGGATGGCAGCACCTCCCCTGCTCTGTTGGTTTCTGCATGGGAACAAATGGAATACATGGGGGACAGTGCCACATGCATGTTAAGACCCGTAGAAAGGTATGGGGTGGCAGCATCTCTGATGGCGATGCCAATTAAAATACAGTGAAAGGCGGTGTGTGAAACATGCTGGGCACAAATGCCAGGCATAAAAGGAAGAATGGCCTATTTCCAGTAGCAGGATAAGGAAAGGCTTTGTAGAAGATAGTATTTTAGCTGGGCTTTAAAAAATTGGTATAATTTTGGTAAACAGAGTGATGGTAGGGAAGAACATCAGAAAAGAGGCCAGCATAATCCAGGGCAGACCTAGTAAAGCACAGAGCAGGCACATCTCGGGGTGGAGGGTGAAAACACTGGGGAGGTTTCAACGGGAGGCAGCATGGGCTTCCGTGGCTGTTACCTGTTAAACCAGAATCACTCCCTGGCTGTGGGACTTGGGATGGGACGTGAGTTGTCTTTCTCTGGGGACTCTCAGGTCCAGCAGGCAGAGAGGAGAACACCAGAACCCCAAGGGCGTGGCCCTGAGGAGGAGTCCCTGGATTCAAGCCCTGCCTGAAGAAAGGGACTCGTCTTCTTTGTCTGCTTTGTTGCTTACACTTGTTTGGGTTGAATTTCTGTCACTTACAACCCAAAGCACCACAGGACCCTGGTGAAGGAGTGTGGCCTTTACTTGAACAGTGAGAAGGTGCAAGGCGGCTTCAGAAGAGAAACATCTCGCTATGAAGGCGACTGCAGCAGCCTGGACAGTGACCTAGACAGGAACTCCCTAGAGCTGATCAAGAGTCACTGCCACAAGAGGACAGAGAAGGGCATGGTGACGCAAGGACTAGCATTGCAAAAAGCTTAGACACAAAGCGAGGTGACTCTGGATAAACAATATCCATGGAAAAAAATAAATTGGAAGATTTAAAAAATCAGGGACACATGAGGGTAGGGAACAGAACGAAGTAGCCTGGGAGACCAAGGACTCGAGGAGGCCTTGCGCCCGGCACTGAAGGTCACCACAGCCTCCTCCGGCCCCTACTTGTTCCCACTCAGCCACCAACTCCCCAGAGGCAGGGATGGGTCTCTCCTCACATCTTACCTTTGACACTTTCTAGATCTGAGGAAATTCTTCATCATCTCTTACTTTGGTAGATTACTTACTTCCTGTGGGACTCCAGGCAAGTTACTTTACCTTTCTGGGCCTTGGTTTATCAAATGAAGAGAATGATGGCATCTGATTCATAGGGATATGTTATTTAGAATAATGAGTGGCGTGTGACAGGAGTTCCAGGAAATAAACTAGTGTAACTGTAAATGTTTTCCTCCTATTTTACACAGGAGGAACCAAATTTGGAGCTTAAATATTTGTGCAGGGCCACGCGGCTATCTAAAGCAGCAAGGCTGGAAATGGAACCCTGTCTTTTTGGTTCTTGGTCCTGTGCTGCTCCCTCTAAGCAAACAAATGGTCTCCCATTCAGCACCGGAACCGTAACAGCGAAAGAAGTCCTTGCAAATCAAGAGTCAGTACTAAGGCAGGCAGGCCGCACCAGGATGAGCCGAAGTCTGGAAATCCTGGTAGACGGGGCCAGAGGTGGGGAAGTGGTGCCAATTTAGTGATCGTTAAATACTTGTATGGAATTTTAGGTTTTTTTAAAAAAAAGACTTCCATCTTCTTTTGCTCCTAGCTTATTTGTTACTTCCATCTGTATCACGGCAGTGGAAGATTCTTCACAGCCTGGACCAGATCCTGTGCCCTACGTGTTTTGACCCAGGCTTCCATTTTGTGGAGTCTGACCTCAGATACAAGTGTTGAACCATCCATGTCTGACACGAAGAAATATGCTTTCTTCTTGAATGCCATTTTTGATCCAAATTCTAGGGTATTATACAAAAAAAAAAAAAGTACCACTTTTCCCTTCAATCTGGATGTCAAATAAATTTGAGGCTGTCTCCTAATTATCATTATTTATATATCACAGTGGTATCGCATGGCATTTTACAAAACAGAGGAAGGCACCCTCCCAGGCACAGATACTTATAAGACAGTGAAGACAATACATTTATAAAACACCAGGTGAGAGGGTGGACACATATCACACAGGAAAAATTGCTGGCTTTTCCCTTCGACAGCTTGGGGAGTGAAAGTGCTGGTTATCATTTGCTTGGGTAGCTCGGCTCCATCACAGGGAGCAAGAGGCCTGCCCAGATTTCAGCTGGAGATGCTGCTCATTTTGTTGGTCACACACCTCTGAGCAGCAGCCTCGGGTGGGCCAACCCTACACACAAGGCATCAAGTTTTCTGGGTAAAACAGTGACAGCCGCTGAGCCTCCCAGAAGGAACACAGTTGATCAGAAATGGACTAAGCAGCAGGGAAAGAATCTCAGAAAGGTGGTGGTGGCCTGTCCCTCCTATGAGGCAGGATCTGATCCCTCTCACACGTGTTCCTCAGAGGAGTACGTGCCTGCCTGGGCTCTGCAGGATGGTTCTCATACACAAAGGGCTGGCTGAGTGTAGTTCAGGAGGAAGAGAAGCAACAGCACCACAACATCCCGGAAGTGATGTCAAGATTATGATTTGACTGATTGACTGAAAAGTCTGATTTGAAGCCTAGGAAGCCTTCAATCTTCTGCTGGGCCATGTGCTGCCAGTGTCACCAGCAACCAGGCCTCCACTGAGCACATGGTAGGTACCAGGCACTGTTTTACACCCTCTACAGATTCTACCTCTTCATTCTCACATGATCCTGAATTAGTTACTGTACTGTCCCCATGGGACAGTGGAGAATAATGGCACCTAGAGAAGTAAAATAACTTGGCTAGTAAGTGGGTCCCTGGCTCTGGTCTGCCTCACTTCCAAGCCCATTCTCTTTCTGTCACTGTGATTCCTATAGCTCTCAGGTCCCTAAATCTTCCAACTCTGTCCTGGAGAGTTCCTTTCCTTGGTTCTTGAGATCACTCCATGTGTTCTCCCATGTTTTATCTTCTTCCAAGTTCTTTCAGTGTCTCTGGCTGAGATGAATGGAAGTAGCCCAGGATGACACAATTACTAAGAGCCTGTTGCTCCTCGACCCATCCTCATCAAATGACCAGAGCATATGGGAGAGGAAGAGCTCTTGGTGGACCTTGAAGTCGCACAAAGGAATCTGGATGTTATCTTGTAGGCCAAGGGGAACCGCTGAAGGGCACAGGAATACAGACCAGGGTATGTGGGCAGAAACAGCACTGAAGTAGAATTGAAACCTGAGATGAGGATGGGAGGAGCCAGCCAGTCCAGGGGAGAGAGGACAGTGATGTTTGTGCCAGGGCAGATGAGACAGAATATGGGAACTGGATGTGGAAGGGTGAGAGGCCAGTGGCATATCGGCTGAGTGGGAGAAGGCAAGAGGTTGCCAAGAAAGGTTGCGTGAAACATTGTTGCCCAGCTGTGGACTCCTGGGAAACCCTGGGAGCCAGGCAATGGGGCAGCCCCAGGAGGTGGACAGAGGTGGGAGAGTGAGGAGGGGCCAGCTGTGAGGAAACAGGTTGAGAATGGGCTCAGCTGTGGCTCTTGGAAGTGGTATTAATTCTTCCAGCCAGAGTCCCAGTCTTAAGAAGAGTGGATACACCCGGACTATGTGCCGTCTCTGAGAACAAAAAGATGAAAACAGTTTAACCAGGATAGAGAAAAGAGAAAGCAGAGACTTGGAGACTGAGGTCAAGTAGGCCCTTGACTTTTTGGGGATTGGTTTGCAATACTTGATTCTGACTCCAGAAAACAGGGAATCTACCATCTCAGCATCAAATGAACCTCGGGCTCTGAAGAGGCCAAGAGGTCTCTCAGCTCTAAGATAGAGCAGGGGCCCTTGGGCTGCCTACTGGACATCAGTCCTCGATTCTAAGGTGGCCATGTGCCTTGTTCACAGAGGCAGGAGGAGCTCTAGCCACACTGTGTGCTGCATGTTCAATAAACACCAAAAGGAATGAAGTTCAAAGAGAAATACTTCTACTTCCCGGGTATACACACACAGATACCTTAGGGTTTGATACGTAGCCACTGATCTTTGAAATCACTGGATCTTTCCTATATAAAGATTTTCCACAGGTGTGTGCATCTAATTTAAAAGTTAAATGCATAGAAAGAAACAATCCAGAGAACATTATAGAATTGGTAAGTTGGTATCAGACCTCAAAAGAAATAGTCTTTGACTTAAATCAGCAAGCTTTCATCAGGCGCCCTGTACGTGGCAAGTGCTACTAAGTGCTGGTCACACAAAGTCAGATGTACTTCAACATTAATCTCTAAGGCTCTTGAAAGTGTCCCAGTCAAAGGGAAAGCTACTGATGATCCACATGCAACTTAGGTTGATCTTGAAAAGATGTGTTTATGGACTGATTCACTTAAAAAAAGCAGAAAAAAAAATGGGAACAGGTCATTATTCAGTTACAAAGGACACATGAGCTTCCAGATCAACCTCAGAGGTTTTAAGTAGCACCTTTATTATGAATGGGACAGGCCAGCTCTCCATTCACCTCAGTTTCTGGGGCCTGGGAAGTGTTGTCACGTGGCTACCGGGTTGCCGAGTGACAGGCCCTGGTCAGGGCTGTGAAAGGGGAACCGCAGGGATCCCTCTAGGCGGCTGCCTGTGCTGCTTGAGGCTGTGCCATTCCTGACTGTAATGCCAGCCTCAGATCAGTGTTCAGGACACAGTGATCGAGATGGTGTTTGGTGAAGGACAAAAGAGGCAACTCTGGGTGCTGATAACTCAGGAATGTGGGTGGCAGAGACATGGAGTTCTGCCCAGGACGCAGAAGGGGATGGTTCTGACAAGGGTCTCTGGATGCTGTCCAGCCTGAAGGAGGACCTCGAACTCAATGGGGCCAATCTCTTTGGCAAAGATGTAACTAAAAGCATCAAAAGCTCTGTCTTACTCATATTGAAGAGGGAAACTTAAAGAATAAAATAATACCTTGCCTCATTTTACAACAAACTGCATTCTTGTTAGCAAACATTTTAAGTTTAAGATCAGTAGAGAACTCTGTAGGGCATTTTATTAAGTGAATATATAGGGGCTGACATGGAGAGCAGGCCTAAGCTTGAGAAGTCCCCGGAAGTGCCACATGGCCAGCCTCTGAGCTTTGGAGCCAACTGGTGGCAGCCATCAGGGAGAAGGCCTACTTCGAAGTCCCCAGAGCTGGACAGGCCCACCCTCCCAAGTCTCAGCTGTTCAGTAATTTCTTTGATTCTATGACTATCCTCAGTATCTCTTTAATAAGTTTCTTCTTTTTATGGGCTTAAGTTGGTGTTGGTAGAACATAACCGAAAGAACACTAAGAACACTTAGGTTATGGTCTCCTGGGGCGGTCACCTCACGTCTCTGCACTCAGCTCCATCTGGGATGCCTCTTGTCTTATTATTCATGTACAGGGTGCTTCTCTGACATTTATGAACAGCAGCTCGATGGGAGGGCCAAAGTCATATACTTCTGAGTACTTTTGACCCTGCCTAACTTGGTCACCTTGCCCAAGTCATTTAGGACAACTACAGGAAACTCAATAAGATGAGAAAATGGCTGGGGACAAGACAGTTTGTGGGTCCTCACCAGTGTTATAGAGGAAGCTGCTGTGAAGTACTGTTCCAGGCTGTGTGGCTCAAGACAAGCCAACACACTGTTGGAGAATGTGTCATCTTCTTAGCATGTTCTTTTTCTAACTCTAATTTCATATATTTCACTTGACACACATAAAAACAGTGAATTAAATTTAGCCTATACATTGAAAGGCCAGAGTTTCTCTTTTAGATAGCTGACTGACATACATACAAAGTCCCAGTTATTTCTTTCTTTCTGTATTTCATTCTTTTCCTCTTATTTATCTCTCTCTTCAGTTTTCCACATATATAAAAAGAGAATAGAAAATATATAAATGGCTACAGAATTGGGCCAGTACCATATTGCTTTTGATACATCTATTAAAGATTTAGAAAGACAAATTCAATCTCAAATGTAACTGTGAATCAGTCTGTCAATCATCTAGCTAGCCTGGGGAAGGCTTATCTCTGGAATCTGTTAGGATAACACAAATGGGGTGGAATCCATTTTTAATCTTCTTGCCTGATGGATGGCCTTTCATAAATAATGAAATTTCTACTTTACCTCAAGTGTGCTATAGTGGGCCTTTTTCTTTTTCCACAAATGTAGAAATAAGAGGTATAAAATCAATTTGCAGAGTCTAAGTGATAACTCCTATTTTTTCCCTCTATTATCCTTCTCTAGTATACACAGAATAAATATCTGAGCTAAAATTTAGCAGCTGGGAAGGACCTAGATGATGTGGAAGGGCAATACATTTCTTTCCTATTAACATTTTCATTATCAAAGGTCAGGGCAGAACAGTTACAAAAGACTAGAATTTTGCAAATCCTTACAGCAAAAGCCAAACTAGAATGACATGGAATTTTCCCACTACTAAAGTTACTGCTGGGAGATTACTCTAGCCTCAGTTTAATGCTAATCGCTATAATCACAGCACATTACCGAATACTGTTACCCCAGAGCTCTGGGCTCACTGTGGGCTGTGATAAATTTGGAAGATCAGGAAGAGATCCTGAAATCTCAGGTCTTGGGACTGTGCCCCACTCTCACTGTGGAACCTTAGGGATGTCTTATCCCTGTCTAAAAAGCAGCTAATCATTTACCTCCCAGGGCCACAGAAGCTGCTGTCTTCAGTTGTAAGCTAAAGTCCTTCTGTAGAAAGGAAACAAAATGGGCTGAAATGTGCAGAATTCCACCCTCAACAGGCCAGTTATACAGATTTGTAGTGAACGCTTTAAGTTGTAGAAGGATGGATAAAGGCTGGCAAGGGTGGGGAGAGAGCGAGAGTGAGAACAAGCTGTGAGGGCAGACCAGTGAGACCTCAAGGGCGGCCGGGAGGGAAGGTGCTCTCCAGCACCCTGTGGATGTGAATTCCCATGTGTTTCGTGGGTGGGTCCAGATTCAAATCCAAGGACAAGCTCAGAGCACCCCCTTAGCTAAATCTGCTCCCGCCAAAGTGGTTCACAATGGAGCTGTGTCATGTGTGCTTATCCTATATTCAGCTACAGCAAGTGGTAATAAAGGAAAAAAGCAAGGAAAAAAGCACTAGCCATCTCTTTGTGTGGGCCAGTCTTACTGCAATCCACTGACGAGTGTGGCCCAGAGCGAGTGTGAGGAAGCGGGACTGGAGAGCCTGGGGCGACCATGCCTCTTGGTGTTGGGGGTGGGAACATGCCTCACTGGACCAATGTGATTCCAGTGCCTAGAGCAACGTATGGCTTGTACAAGCTGGTCCCCACTCGCCAGCTGGCCTCTTCATCTGGTGTTTGGCTGCAGAAACTGTGCGCTATTCCAAAGCTGTGGGATGAGCATCTGTGCGGGCCATCTTGAGACACAGCGCCCAGTGTGGTCCCTTCCCAGGGACTCAGAGGCACAGTACACAGGTCCTTTGCCGACCCCTCAACTCTAGCTGATGCTCAAGCTTCTCTGCTTCCCATTTTTGCTCCTGCCCTTCCCTTTCCGGGTGCAATGTTCTTCCCACTCTTCTCCCATACTGAAACCTTCAGCCCTATCTTCCTCCCTCTGGTTCCCAACTAAGTCCTCTAATCACACCCACCTACAATGCCCCATGCTTGGCTGGGCCGTTCCTTCGGTGACTTGCCATTTACCACCTTGTGCTAAATCTTCATACCGTGTTTCCCAACACTTATGTAAGTACTCTGAATAACTTCACCTGTCAGTCTCTATTTGGGTATCCCATTGCACCCTGTGAGTAGTAAATTCTTCTGCACAGCCCAGAGGTTAAGAGCACAGGTTGGGTTGGAATCTTGACCCTGCCACCTGCCAACCTTGGGCATGTCACTGTGACAAAAAGTGGAGACCAGAAAAGTCAACTCATTTCCTGTGTGGCCAAACGGACAGTTAAAAAGTGTGAACTCACAAATGCTGAAGGGAGGAAAAGGACCCCGAGCTCGTAGGAACGGATCATCAGCTGGGTGCCGTTCTTCTCCAGCACTCCCCATGCGGCCTTGGACAGGTTTGCACTGAGGGGACAGGGACACAGAAAGGGCTGACTCAGTGAGGGTTAGACACTCACAGCTACAGGACCATGGGTCAAAAAAATATATAGCTGTAATCACATTTATTCAATTTCTAGCAGAGTTGTGGCATTTCTGAAAAGGGAACCTAATTCCTCCTGTGCTATAATCCTCAGGATTTATCTAATTGCTAACTTGGGATAGCTTCACCCTCATCTGCATTTTCCCTTGAGGGCAGCTATTAAATTAATTGTCTTTCTTTAGAATTTTTTTTGGGGGGGTCTAAAATCCTTTTCTGTTTTCTTTTTATAACACTGGTGTAGATAAGACTCTGGTTTTGTTGTATATAAAAGCATGTAAGAGGGCTGGGGATGTAGCTCAGTAGTAGAGGACTTGCCTAGCATGCAAGAGGCCCTGGGTTCAACCCCCAGTACTACCCAAAACAAACAAAAGTAGCATTTAAGAAAAAAAACCAAACAAACCTATGTTAACATTTTGTACAGTAGTATCTTAAACTTTGTATCTCCTTTTTGTGCTCCTTTTTTTGCCAAGTAGTGGTAATTTCCACTTTCAATTGGAAGAAAGTAGTTAAGGGCTCTAGATTGGTAATTGTATCTAGAAAAGCAATGGTGCATTTTAGAATCATGTTTTATATAGATAAGCATTTGTATATAAGGCTAAAAACAATCACAGTGCAGCAGAAGGAAGGAGACTAGGAACGAAGCACGTAAGATACATCAATTCTCACATGTGGATGCTAAAAAAGCTGACATTATGTAAGTGGGGAGTAAAACAGTGGTTGCTAGAGGTTAAGAAGAGAGGGGTTTGGGAAGACAGAGGGAGCTCTGATAACTGCCTAAATGAAATACCAATGTTCCACCGTAAAGCAGATCGACTATAGTTTAAAACAACTAATCACACATCTCATAAAGAGCTAGAAGAGAAGCTGGGCACAGTGGCACACGTGTGCAATCCCAGCACTTTGGGAGGCTGAGGCACGAAGGCTGAAAGTTTGAGCCTAGCCTGGGCAACTTGGCTACTTGGGGGGAAAAAAAAGGGAGAAAGGGGCAGGGATGTGGCTGAGTGAGAAGGCTGCGGGTTCGATCCCCAGTACTCGGGTGGAGGGGGGCGTGCACACTCAGGATGCTCAGGAGTGGAGACTCTAAGGCCCTAGCACTGCTTGAGACTTTTTTTTTTAACTGCAAATGCAGCAGAAGAGTCTCATCTATTGATTAGTTAACATAAACCCACCACAAGCCATTTTCTCCCAGTTAGGCTTCCCCTAATTACATTCCATTTAAAAAAAGTATAGTAAAATCTCAGCCATTTGGAACCCTTAACCTGGCTTTCAAGATTCACTGGCAGGTGCATCAAGTTCCTTTCTGGGTGCTGTCGGCATTGTTGGAACAGCAGAGTCAAACCAAAGCAGGCATCACGTGAGAGCAAAGAGCGATCTCTGCCAAGGGCTCCACGGGAGCACAGGATGGTGTGGAAATCAGAGCTAGGAAAACTCCTGAAGTGATTACGCTCACTTAAAAAAAAACAGTGCATTAGGGGAACAAGGGAGAGGGAAGGGAGAAAGGAAGGAAGGGACAAGGAAAAAAAAGTGAAAATAGAAGAAAAAATGGAAACAAAGCTTTTGTACATAGGGAGGGGAGGAATGGGAAAAGAGGCGGGAGGTATCATGTACAGGTGCACATTCGCTATGAGGAGTGTTATTAGGTATGTCTAAAATGTATCAGTATTTTGCTATTTAAAAAAAACTGCGTTTATGGACCCTTCTGCCTTCCCTACTGGACCACAGTGAGGACAGGGAACTATTTATGATTCATGGGGACCATGATCATGTATGTTGCTGTTAACGTCTGGGTGCCATAGAGATGGAAAATGCAGAGGAAGTGAGACACTTACGATAAAGTGGTATTATGACTTGAGGGAAAATATTTTCTTTAAGTAAAAGTTCAACCAGGGCCAGGTGTGGTGGTGCATGCCTGTAATCCCAGCATCCAGAAAGCTGAGGCAGAAGGAGCATCTCAAGTTCAAGGCCAGCCTGAACTACAAAGCAAGACCATGTCCCCCTCCAAACAAACAAACAAACAAACAAACACAAAACAAGTTGAACAAGTCTGTTTGCTTTTAGGCTTCTTACCTATTAGACTTAAAAGGTAACCTCCTGGGCTAAGACACAGGTGTAACAGCAAAACTACTCAGCGAGTGTGAAGTTGAAGGAGTCTTCCTACGAGTGTCTCTCTGTGTGGGAACCCTTGTGACTGTCAGCACCACAACACCCAGGCTGGAGGTACCTTCTGCAGGGCTTGCGCTCACCCTTCCCTCACAGGATGTGTTTCCTCCACACTCCAAGGCTTGAGGGCTAATTCCACAGTACACATCAGTGGAGCCCAAGGGGACTCCTTTGGAGGTGGTTTCCTCCAACCCCTCCTTTGGATTTGGCTTCTAACAGAATTCCAAGCCTAAAAACTCTAGGCTGAATACTGAGAGACTGAAAGACATTCGTAGGTTGTCTAGGTGATAAATCAGCATCCCTTGAAATATCATCTTTAATAATTTTTTATATTCTGAGTAATACTGTGAATCACTGGCACCTGGGGCTGCCAGAAGATGGGATATGCATTTCCAAACTGATTCTGCCCACTCCGGGTGTGGGTGGCAAATGGACAGTGATCCTGTACAGTAAATGCCCTGATGTGACACCGCAGGGCAGCTTACAAAGTTCTGCTCTGCTCAAACTCCAGAGTTCTAGCATCTGCTCTCCACTCAGGATCCACCCCCATCGAGAGCTTATTCCCCATACTATCGCCTGCCCTTGTCCTTCTCTCTTTCTTCTGTCTCCTTCTGGACTAGCTGCTTTGTCCCCCAGTGCCCTGGTGTAGTCTATTGTCCCTGGATGTTAAATGGTGGCTTCATCACTAAAGGGAGGGGGCTTCATTTATCTTGATACTTTGAGGTGTGGAACTATTGTGTAAGATGGAGAATTCTAGAGGGTGGAATTCTGGATGACACATGTTTTACGGTTCGCCTGAAACTCAGCCTAAGCAACTAATGAAGTGATAATGAATAAAACTGGCTTTTGGGGGACAGAGGTGTACCAGTGAGAGCTCAGTCAGAGAAACAGAAGAGGTTACATAAAATATATATGTATATGTGTATATATATTTGTATTTTACAGGAATTTGACATTATACAATGGTGGGAGCTGGTTAAACAGTCTTCATAAAACTATTACCTTTGTCCTGATGTTGAAACTAGAGGTCCACAAGGCAGGCAGAAGCCAGAGGAAGACTAAGTAGGAAGCAACATGAGCTGAAGCCCAAGAGGACAGAAGCCATTGTCAGCATGTGTTGCCTCTGGAGTTGGGAGTGTGAGCATCTTACATAAGGAGCCCCTTCATCACGGAGCTAAATATACATACACATGTGGTGATGGCCAGGAATCAGGGAAGCCAAGGGGGGATGAAGGCGGGTGGCGGCGGGGTGGGGGGGAGGTCCAGCTGTTGCCTCATACCAGCAGAGTGAGCTAGCACAGTGATGGGGTGTGTGTGTACACACACTAAAACAGCAGCTGTCTCACATTTGTCCTCCCAATATCCCATAAGAATCTCTCTTGGAGTGCACCCTAATCATAAACATACAAAGAAGGGAAGTCTGGGAAATGCAGTTCAGCCTAGCCAGGCTGACCCATTACCAAGTGTATGGACTGTTTGCATCTGTGTTGAAATCCTAATCCCCAGTGCAACGCTATCAGGAGGTGATTGGGTTGTGAGGGTAGAGCCCTCATGAATTAGATTCCTCACTCCAAAGAGCTGCCTTGCCTTCTGTCATGTGAGGTCACAAGGAATCAGCAATCTGCAATCTGGAAGGAGCTCTCAGTAGAACCCAACCAGGCAGCACCCTGACCATGAACTTCCAGTCTCCAGAACTGTGAGAAGTAAAGGCCTGCTGTTTATGAGCTGCCCAGTCTATGGTACTTTGTATAGCAGCCTGGATTGAATAGGATACCAAGCCTCTACAGCTAAACTAACGGTCAGCTGTTTAGCTAAACAGTTTATAGGGCCATTGCTTATAAGGAACATGGATGGTGGTAGATTATTCCGCCATAGCTCTTCAGGTATGGCTGCTAATTACAAGCTTGCTCTCAGCCCACAATATGAAAATCTGGTACCAAAGTTTAAATTTTGAAGAGCACATTTAATGATGTATAGCAAAAAACATTCTAAAGGAAATCTCAGGGAGATGTAGAGGTGTCATACAAGGTACATGGAGAAGAAAGGAGGGCAAAGCCTGAGGCAGAGCCTCGGGCCCCAACTAGAAGTACAGGGTTTTGTCCCCACTTTCTTACCGATTGTCGCTCCCTCTCCCACTCCTCTTCTCCCTGGGCTCCTGACTCCTGTCTAGATCGAAGAGCATTGGCCTGAGACCAAAAACCCCTTTCCAGACAAGAGTCTACAAGACCAGAGACGCTCAGTTCGCATCTACGTGGAGTGCTCCTCTCGACCCCAAAGAGAAAATCCCTGGCTTCCCCTGGGCACTCCTGAGCTGTGCTTATCTGAATGTTCCTGATAACATGCTGGGGAAACAGCTGGAGCTACAAGATGACCTCGATGCCAAACCTTGCTCTGTGCATCTTTAGCTTTATTTAGGTCTGTCATATATCTAAAATTAATTTTGTTCAATTAATGTCCCAAATTTACTTATTTTATGCATGTATATCCAACTGCATTAGTGCCACCTGTGAAAAGGACATCCTTGGTTCACTGAATTACATTGCTGCCCTTGTTGAAAACCTGATTATGTCTGTGTCTATTTCTGTACTCTTCTGTTCTATTGAAGGTTTTATGTATTTTTATTTCAGCATCATAGACTTACTGTGTTTTTATGGTGAATCTTGAAATCATGCACTGTAAGGCCTTGTTCTTTGCAACTATCGTAGCTTTTGCATACCCATGTTAATTTTGGAAATAAGCATGTTCTTCTACAAAGTTGTCTTGG